GGAATTTACGCAGCTCATTTACACACTTTTCCTGAAGATAGAAGAGTTTGTTAAATCTGATGTGACATGTTCGTACGAACCCTTTGTACGAACAAAAGTAAGAGAAATTTAGGATAAGAATATGTTCATTCTTATATGTTCATGGGCTGGGTCCTCAACTGAGACACAACCATAGATATATGTTTTGTAGAATTCAGTTGAGACTACAGCTTCTTATAAGCTCTCATTGAATCTTTAAGTTTTTAACTCACACACATTAAAGCCTGTAACTCCAGCTCCTGCAGCAGCTCTTACCTGGGGGGGTCCCATGTGGGCCCTGCAGCTGAGAGGCTCCAGGTCAGACCAAGTCGTTTCAGCAGCAGGAAGCGTGCAGAGGAGCAGGACATGATGAAGTCCTCCTCATCCTCATCCTCTGACCGGAGGAAGAGCAGCAAGAAGCAAACATGGATCAATCAGAACCAGTAATCACACAGTGATCAGTTCCTAATCACTCTAAACTGGATTAATCCCAGCCGGTCAGTGAACGCACCACAGCTATGATGATGTAAAAGTCCCTGAACGCACCATGAGCTGAGCGGTGATGTGTTCAGGTTAAAAGCTGTTTCTGTCTCCAAGTCTTTAAAACACTCAGATTCTTTATCAGGTACGAATATTTCACTGAGCAGCCAATCAAAACCCTTCTGACAGGTAGAACAATAAACAGACTTACCTGGACCTGGGCTGCTGGAAAGGTTCGGTTCTGTTAAAGATATTTTCTTACTCAGCAGCAGAGGTGAGTCAGGAGCCTATTGGACCGGAACAGAACCGGTCAGAATCTTCGTGGTTCTGTTGTTTGTTTATCTCCTGGGTTGGTTCTGCTGTGATCCCGGCTTCTTCCTGTTCTCAGCGGGACAGAGAGCTGTCTCAGAGCGGTCTGCTGCCACCTGGTGGCCCGGAGGTGAAACACTGCTGCCACCTGGTGGCCCGGAGGTGAAACACTGCTGCCACCTGGTGGTCCAGAGGTGAAACACAGGGTCCAGAGAGAGTCCTGCTGCAGACAACCCATTTATTCTGGACCTGTTCTGTCACAAACACACTTTGGAAGCAATGTAATAATTTTATAATCTGTAATACTCATTTGTCGTTAAGGTATGAAGACATTATTTTTGGTTTTCATAGAAAATAATAATAATAATAATAATAATAATAATAATAATAATAATAATAATAATAATAACTACACATGGGTTTTTACGATGTAAAAACAAGTGTGCATTGCCTCATGTCACTGCCTGCAGCAATGGACTTGCAGAATGAACTGACCAAGTTCAAATGTGTTTTCTAATCAAGTACCAGCTTGTGGCTGTCAGCAGGTGTTTGTAATGAGGGCAACAGTGTGAAAATATGAAGTTAGAATACATTTTTTGTTAAACTTATTGTAGCTGGGATTTGAACCCTGATCTCCCACATGAAAGGCTATGGCAGTAACCACAAGACCATTGGTGCTGTGAGAAAATACAATCCCAGTGTTTTTTTCTATGTGTGTAGAAAGAGGCAACATTGCCAATGACGATCATTGACAAAGAACTGTGTAATATTACAACAGTAGAGCAATATTATATAAGATGTTTATGCTTATAAGACACTGATATAGTAATACATTAAATTACATATATATCAATATTGTAATCACTGCAATAATTGAGATTAAATATAATAATTAAACTATGGTGCTGTTCCATACTGAGTAGATACAGCAGGGGGCAGTATTGGACCAATACAAGGTCCATTGACTCCCATTATAATGTATTAAACATAAATATTTCAAAAACTATAAGTTGTACAGGCACCAAAAGGCATAGCCATCATTTGGCACAGGAGCTTTACAGATATAAATTACAATGGCAGCTCTCGGTCAAAGTATGCAGGAGGAGAAGCATGGCAAATTTGAGACGAATTGGATGGGAAACGAATCACAATAGTGTGCATTGCATTGGCAATTTATCAGTGTGCATTGCATTGGCAATGCACACTGATAAATAAAATATCAATTAATCTAATCATATTTGGCAAATTCCATTTTCACAAATGTAAATTTTTGTCATCTTCACCTTTTGTCCAGGTTTTATTAAAGAAACAGAATTATATTTATGCACTCTCTCTAAAATTACCAACAAAAAAGCGACAAACACGTATGAATGCTGTAGCTCTTTGAATGTATTTGATTTATGATCTTTCTTATGTACTGGATGTAAAAACCTACCTGTCACAGTTCATTTTGGTTTTGTTGTTGCTTGTTCTTATTCTCCTGTTCTGTTTATATATTCATAATTATATGGACCTGTGCAAAGAATTTGTCAAAAATTTAGTTTTTTTAACCATCAGAATAATAAATAATTTAATTAATTAATTAATTAATTAATTAATAAAGCCTCCTGATGTCTTTCACTGCAGGACTCGTGTTCAGAGAAATTATCCAAATCAAACTAAAAGTTTCTGAACACAAACTGAGGATTTGATCCAGATTAAAACAAGGATTGGATTAACAGATGATCTAGTTAAATGTATTTATATTCTGGTTTTTTATGATTAATACTATTTGTTGCTTGAAAAAAGAGTAAGCTTGTTTATTAATTTGTATCATTTTTTTTGTCTTATTTTGGTAATTGAAAACTTATTGACGATATACTGATTTAAACCATTATTTGATTAGTATTGTTGAATTTAATGGTATATTTGGAAATGGGGGCAGATATAAGATTTTTCTTTTTCTGCCCTTCATTTCCTTTTATTTTAATTCATTTTAATGTATATGTGTTTGAATTTTTTTCTTGTTTTCTCTCATTTTATGCTTTTAATGTATTTTGTTTAAATGAAATGAAATGACTAGGCTAAACTAAACCATGGGCGCAGTTAGTACGGGGGACGGGGGGGACATGTCCCCCCCAGATTTATAGTGACCCTGATCTGTCCCCCCCACTTTCCCTGATAGGATGAGAAAAAATCTGATCAAAACTTATGATTACCGTTCTGTTAGTTCGCTGACGCTACCCTAACCCACAGAGGAGCAGCAGCAGCAACGCGGGTAACCCTCTCCCCCCTCCCTTCTCTTCCCATCTCTCAGGCTGTTTCACACAGCGGAGCGGTGCAACACACACACACACACACACACACACACACACACACACACACGGGTTTGTTCTTTATTCTCATGAGGACTTTGCATTGACTTCCATTCATTTACCGGTCATTTCTACAACCTGACCCAACAACAGGGACCGGGCTTTTTGTCCCCATAAGGAACAATG